TCCTGGCCCTGTGGCAACACACCCACAGAGCTCTGAGGCACAGGGCTCCAGCCGTCCTGCCTGACACAGCCACCAGTGTCCACATGACACGGGGTCAGGCTTGGCTCTGGTAGCCTAGCATGTGTGGCTGGCAGGGTGGGCAGCACAGTGCAAGGGCTACTCACCACAGGTGTGTGGCTCCTGGGGTGCTCTGGCTGCTGCATCTCTGCCCTCTCCCTGCCCACAGGTGATCCTGGCAGTGCTGTGCCTGGCAGCGAGTGAACCGCAGCCCCCGCGGGGCCGGGATCATGCTGTACCATGGGGGCAGCGGGTCCTCGTGCGGCTGCCCACCCGCCCACGGAGACACACCGCCAGACACTTCTGCCCCACTGGCACAAACTGGGTCGAGGGGGCTCGCCAGTGCTGCACGCAGTGTCCTGCAGGTGAGAGCAGCCTGGCAAGTGTTGTACGGCACAGCACGCCGTGGCACACTGTGCACATTGCCCGAGGTGGCCACAGTCCCTGTCAGCACCCACTGTCCCCACAGGGACGTTCCTGCGTCGTCCTTGCTCGAGCCATGGCAATGACACGGTCTGCGCCCCCTGTCTCCCTGGCACCTTCCGCTCCCAGCCCAACATGCTCACCAAGTGTCAGGCTTGCTATGAGTGCGACCGCCAAGGTGAGCTGGCAGCATCCATGCCACACCATGCTGTGCTACGTGGTGCTGTGCCGTGCCATGCCGTGCCACTCACCACCTGTCTTCTGCAGCTTTCCAGAGAGTGCTGAGCAACTGCTCGGCCACCAGCAACATCGCCTGTGGCTGCGAGTCCGGCTACTTCCGCAACTGCCTCGATGAGCACTGCAGTGACTTCTCCTGCCGGCAGTGCCAGCCCTGCACCGGGCGGCTCATCCAGCGGCCCTGTGAGTGCTACTGGCCAGCCCGTGGTGTGCCACCGATGGCTGTGCCACCCTGCCTGACACCCTCCCTCTCCCCAGGCTCGGAGGCACAGGACACACTCTGCGGCGGCTGCAAGCCTGACTTCTATGCCGAGGGCGACGAGTGCCGGCCGTGCCACACGTAGGTGCTGACCCTCCCTGTGCTCCAGCCAGGGACACGTGCAGGGACATGGCATGGCACAGTCTCGCACCTACAGCTCCCCTCTCTTTGCAGGAGTGTCCCAGAGACTTGCGGAAAGGAGTGCCAGCGTGTGTGCGGCAGCAGTGGCAGCCAAGGTGCGTGGACAGTGGGGCCAGGGGCAGCGGTGTGGGGGATGCTGAGCGGGCTGGCTGATGCTCCCACTCCTCCTTGCAGGCTCGGGGCTGGAGTACATTCTGCTGGCGCTCACCGGGCCCCTCTTCCTGGGTGCCCTTGCCATCTACCGCAAAAGGAAGCAGCTCCAGCACGACGCCCCAGCAGGCAGCCACCTCCCTGTGGCCAGCCCCATGGCTGCACTACAGTACCAGGTCAATGCCCACTGGCAGGACAGCCCGATGGTGGAGCATGCCACTGGCATGGTGAGGCAGAGCCCTGAGCAACAGGCCTTGCTGCGGGACCAGCCCGGCGGCACGGCGCGGCCGGTTGGTGAGGTGGTGCCCTCTGCACCCCCGGAGCCCTGCAACGCCCTGCTGCAGGGCAGGCAGCTCTCAACTTTTTTGCGATGTGGTGCCGGTGCGGCGCTGGAAGGAGTTCATGCGGATGCTGGAGCTGCGGGAGGCGGAGATCGAGCTGGTGGAGCTGGAGGTGGCCCACATCCGTGACCAGCAGTATGAGATGCTGAAGCGCTGGTGCCAGCAGACCAGTGCCACGCTCGACCGCGTCTTCGCTGCCCTGGAGCGCATGGAGCTGGCCGGCTGGGCCGCAGCCACGCGGCGGAGCTTGGAGGCCCGGC